CGAAAATTTGGAACTTTTTATAAAGGCCCAGTGTATTATTGCCCGATTGAATAAAGTAGCAATAACTGCCGGGAGGGCATGCTCAACCTCGAGTTCTGCAATTCAACTTATTGGAACAGGATTAAATGGTCAAAGATCAACCAAAGAGTGATAAATCCACCTCTTCAAACAAAGAGCATAATTGCCAAAAACCAGCTGTTGGACATGAAACCTTCACTTTTTATGACTGTGTGACAATGCTCAACGTTGTACCGACCGAAGAAAATATATATAGACAGGAAATTCCGCCCTCCTGTGCTGCAGTCAGTGAACCACACTTGACATGAGCTGTAGTTGCTTGAAAAACTTAAAGGTAGGACCACATTTGGTGCCTTGTCCACAAATGAGAGTGTGTAGTTGACACGTGCTCTTCTCTGACAGTTGGGATCTTTGCAAGTGGAAGGTGTGCTTTCGTTTTCACATAATCAAAGTTCGAGCGAAATAACGGGCCATGCAAAAGGCAGATCCCCTAAGAGCAACTCAATGATCAAAAGCGTTGGGTACTGAGCGATAAGGAGTAGTTGCTGTCTCTTGATTTCATTTTGATTATTTCACCTCCTATGCTATTGGCTCATCTATCGGATTCAGTAAAGGAATTCACCTCAGGTTACCGCATATGGATGTGTTTGGCGTGTCGATATTGCTGTGAAGTCCGCTGTTGTGGGTGCGTATATGGTCGAATAAGCCTGTGCGCGAGTGAATGCGCATGGACAGTGCGGATAGTAGAGGCGGGTGCCGCGGGATTATGTGGGGACTCCTGGCACTGGTGCGCCGCTTGAAATGCGATGGGCTCACAATCGGCCGACCAACCGGTGCGTGAAGTGAATGTGCAATTGTGGAAGTAGGCTGGGACCGAGTCCATATCGTTGGTGATGGGGGGTTTGATAGTGAGGGTAGTGGTTGACGAGACGTCAGGAGTGTTCTCACCGTTGGCGGGAGTGAGAGAGCTGGTAGCAGTCGTCTTCGTCGTCGATGCAGGGGTTGTGGCAGGGATGGTGGAGGTGACGGGACATCGGGACATGGTGGCGAAGGTCATCGTGGTAGATGCTGCAAGGTTGGTTCAGGGGTCGCGATGGGGGTAGTTGTGGAGGCAACAGTTGGGGTTGTTGTTGCACTGGGTCCTGAGGTGTCCGACGAGACCAGTCCGTGCGCGCAAAGTTCTCCAACATTACGGCCATAATGGGATGGATTGGATGCTGGCGTTGTGGATCCGCGGCGATTGAGACTTGCGAGCCGCTCTTTTGGTTTTGGCAGCTGCGATTAGGTTGGCTTCCTAGATTCCTGTTTCAGTCTTCACTACTCTTCTTCAGGCCGATCTTTCCTGTGCAAGGGTATATCAAGTTTTCGGGTTAATTCGAAAGCACATCAAAGAATTCTTAAGGGAATCCGTATAGCGCCGGGTTGGCTCTCCTTTTCGGCGGACATATGTAGTCAAATCTCTGTAAAAGAGTCGTTCGGCTAGTCGTTCATCTTCCCTCCTTACATGGTGGTTGCTCCATCTCAGTTTAGGTCGCCTCAGCATGACGTGAATACTGGGAATTCCAGCCCGTTCCAAAATTTCCGTGTGCGAGATCCTGTCCTGCCACCTCAGCTTTAGGATTCTTCGAATGTAGCTGAAGTGGGAGTGATAGGGTTTCCGCGCTTGTTTTATGTAGACTGTCCAGGTTTCTGTTCCATACGGCATAACGTTTAAGTTTATTTTTCGGTTATGGAAATTTTCCAATCCTACGTCTATTGACGTTATTATCGATTAAATCCCGCTTTTCCGATAGATTGAAACTACCCTGTCATCCGATCATTCGTGAGTCCTTTATAATGAATCTCTATTAAGAACATGGGTAGATTTGCATATTCTAATCGACGCTTGTATCCCTACCAATTATTCGCCTTTACCTTGATGGTACGTGGATTTCCGTATCCTTCCTTCCATCCTTTGCTGTTCTCCCGCCACTTCGGTTCCTAATAAAAACAAAATGCGAAATTTAATGCCTGACTTGTCACTTTTACCGTCATATGTTTATGCTGCTACGTATTTTTTCGAAAACAGTCGCTCGGCTTTGGCTGCCGAGTGGCGAACACTTTTGATGATAATGCATAGGTAAGATGTGGCCATGTATCCACACCTGATGGATGCAATACTGCTGAGGTTGGGACTAGGGGTTAGAGAAAGGGGTTAGAATTAAGGGT